TGAGAAACAAAAGTGCATTTTGAGAAAGAAAATAAAACATATTTATTTACACTGTAAAAACGTGAGGGATTTGTTATAGTCTACTTCATAATTACCTGCATTTTGAAACTGAGTAGAAAAACATATATAAATAATAAATGGTTCTTTAAAAATTATTGCCTTCAAATTCTAGTTTCAGTAGCAGTCATAATAACGCGATAAAGACAATACTACTGCCACAACACTTGAGATAGCTTCAAAACTACAGGTTGTCTGGAATAGCTGCAAATTTGATGATGATTCATTTAGCTGTTTATCTTTCCTTGTGGATTTAGCAATATTCAGGAGCTCACCATATGGACATCTTTCAGAAGAAAATTATTTAGAGTTACAAGTTACATGCAAATATTGCTGTAAAAACTGACTAACATGACTGGGAGGAGACAGCAGCAGGGTCCACTTTGCTCCCAGCCACACTACTTTACCCTGAAGCAGTCTGACAAACACCCAAGTAGATGAAGCCTGACTGCAACAAAAGAGACGAAGTCAGGGCAGACAAAAAGAAACACAAGACAGTCACTCCTGAATCCCCCCAAACCCTTAAAAACAGAATTAAGAATGGCCTAGGAAGCTGCTGAACCTACATTTGCTGGCCTAACTCCTTGTAAAGCAACAGGGAAGAAGGGACTCTCACTGAAGCCAGCTGTCCCAAAAGGACTATATAACACCTTCTCTCAATTTGGACAGTATCTCTAGTTTCTTCAGACGGGGCAGTTGTCTGTAACTGCTGTAGGCAACGAGGATTTGAGTTTACACTTGAGTGATTAATTTCCTTCCAAGCCTGTGATTTATTTTCCACTGCACACGTTTACTACTTTTGGTCCTTTACTGCCTTTTTCCAACTGCCTGTAATAATGTATCTACATATGCTGAAAAATCAAGAGTTGATTACAATTAAATGGAGGCTAGGAGAGCCTTACTAGCAGGTCTTATTTTAATGGAGAAACAAGAACCAGTGAAAAAAAGAATAGAACTTTCCGCCTGGCAGAGTTGTGGCTTCCCCTCTGGCAGCCCAAGTTTGCTGGCTTTCCAGTGATATTGGAAAGCTCAGATGTTTCCAGCTTGAATTATGAGACAGTCTCAAGTGAGCAGCAGCAGCCACCCACAATTAATATTATGCTTCTCTCTCAGAACACAAACAAAAGCATACTGGGAGGCAAACCCAGCTTTTCCTCAGTATTACGCTATTTTCCAAAACAGAAAGATATAGTGTTTCAGTCTAGCTCTAAATTTCTTTACTTTTTTATTCATCTAGATTTTGGTTTTACAATTCTCTTATCAAGCAGCAGTAATAGGAAAGATGAATATAAACTTTGATGAACACCGTAATCACTTCACAAACTATAAAGGTAAGAGAATACAGTCTGGACACCAAAAGCAAACAAGACATTTGGAAAACACATTATCAGTCTAAGGATTTTTTAATGGGTATATATTCACATCGCTGATTATTCAAGCAATTACAGAATATGACATTCAGATCTCAGGTTTCTTTAACTAAAATATATTCCAATTGTTTGCTTTTATCAGCAAAAGTAAATTTCAGGGGATTAAGTTTCAAAACTTCGAGATAATTAAAGCTGTCTTGCTCTTCTTGCAACTACAAACATCACCTTTCAGAAATATAATCTATGCTGAATCTTGAAAGTTGAGATCACTTGAAAAACAACTCACATTTTGATATAATGACACCACAATTAAAAGACTTTCTGATATAAGACTGAATTGGTCTCTGGATTAAATTTACCTAGCAGCAATTTCTAAAGATGCTGTATGTAGTTGCAAACACATTGAAACTAATATCTCATCCAGGAATCAGTCTTGCAAATACTCCCTCCAGACTACTGTACTAGTTTCCAAAAACCACAGAGTAGGGCACTAGTCCTTAATCCCTACAGACTATGTACAGCCCTTAAATTAATCAATGCATCCTCACTTTATACTGCTGCTCTCTAGAGTAGTTTACAATTATATGCGCGGTAAATACAGACACACATTATATCTGTAGATCAGCTACTGACATATCAACTGCTCGATGGTATTTTCTTGAATACCTGAATTTAGTGAAATTGCAGTGCAAAAAAGCCAAAATATCACAGAAGGAATTTCTTTAAAAAGTATAAAACAAGTCTTCTGTACTTCAGTTTTTCACAGTCTAATGGATTTGCCTCTCTTGCTTTATATGCTATTAATTTTGCTAACTGAGCTTCATAATAAACCAAAAATGTTGTCACCTGGCTGGGGAGAGTGGCTCTGAAATACAAAGTGTTGCATATCAAAAGACGGTGCTAGAATGCCAATACTAATTTTCAAGTTCATTTCTATGGTTCATGCCTGAAGAAAGTCTTCAAAGAGAGGAAAAAAGCGACATTTCTAACCTCACAGTCCCAGAGGGTCAAGAATGCTTCATTCTTTTAAAAAGTGAGTTTCAATATAAAGAGTACTCTAACTAGAGTACTCTTGGAGAACTCTAGCTTCTCTGTAAGGTGTACAGTGCTCAGCAGGATATAAATAAATCCCTACTCTGAGAAGAAGATACGTCTGCACTCACTCATAGCTCCACAAAGGAAAGGTATTTGCTGCTTCTTGAAGAAAAAAGCCCCACAGTGTTTTGTTGGCCCCATTGAGAAAAAAATTCAGAAACCACTTGGTATATCTTTGAGATTCCAAAAGCAAAATTATGAAATGGGTCATTCTTTTGCTTTTTCCTTTCATTTTTACGGACTTAGATGATTGAACGCAAGTCGTTAAACACTTAACAGATAACCATATAGTTCCTCGCTGGGTGGTATCACTTCTTCAGCAGATCAGCCTATATAATTATTGGTTTAATAGAGTTTTTGGTGAATCTACTATCACAGCAGACATCACATTCTAGAAACAAAGGTGCCATTTGGAATCCACTGATAGGCCCCCATACATTTTGTGTAGGAAGCCTCCAGACAACTTTATGGCCCCAGCAATAGAGAAAGGAGATATAGGGAGTTCTACTTTGTTTTATTTTTCCTTTTTTGATAAATGGAAGATAGAAATAATATCTTTTGGCTATTAAAGTAGTTAAAGCACATATTTAATTTTAGCTATTCTGGCTCTAGGCTCTGGAGTTCTCTGCAGCAATGTTGAGTTCTGGCAAACTTTGTGCTGAGATCTTTATAGGAATATTTACATGGGAATGTAATAGCTGGCTGCTGCCCTAGGACTAAAGCCTACAGACGAGGACTTTATGCTTTTAAGTGCAAAGAAAAAAAAATTATTTTACAGATAAGCACGTGTTCAAATATCCAAAATATTTTCTCTGCCTTGCATAGCTTCTTTATACTGCTGCCATATGGTACCAAGAATTTTCCATCTTAATATCTGGAGACTATTTTATAACAGGAACTCCTAGATAATTTGGTAGTTTCTTAATAAGCAGGATAAATAAAGTTTATTATTATTTAAAATTAAGACATCAAACCAATTATTTCTTCCTTGCTAAGTTCACTACAAAAAAGCCCATGGAAAAATACGTATGACATAGATTACTATATATTCAGTGACCAGCTGTTTTAAATTTGGATATTAAGTAATTCACTCTTTTCTGTGTGCAAGAGCTGAATGATTTAATAAATTCCCATATGCCCCAACATGTGCCAGCTATACTAGGTTATCGAAAACCCAGCTGCTGTTATGATAATAGTTGGCAATGCTAAAACTATGGAAGAGAATAATGAATCAGCTTCAAGTCAACTAAGACATAAACCGACACAGTTTCACTTAAGATACATGGGAATACAATATATTTATTAATTAAAATCTAGTGCCAAGAATCTATGGGCATTGTTCATGGTGGAAAATTAATGCAAATCAGGCTGTATGAAGACAAGCAGCTCCATTTTCATCAGCTGTCCTAGATGCACGGGAATGTCCTGTAAATTACACATATAGTTTGCAAAACAGATTCTATTGTGTCACAGTTCGCTTTTCTTTCTTACATATCATATTACATTACATATTACATGATGTGTTTTACATAGCTAGACTTCTAGATTTTGCAATAATAATAAAATGGTTATGAAAATGATAATGACAAATTGATTGGTTTATGTACAAGTATTTTAACATGATCTAAGAGACAAAGGTACAACACCACTGTCCTTAAGTCATTGAACAGGCATACAAACAAAGGAAGTAAAAAGAGATGAAGTAGCCAAACAAGGTGACAGAAATAATTCTATCTCCACACACATAATTTTTTGACAATCAGTGCAGAAATATCCTTCAAAATATGTCACTATTAACATTTTAAAAACTAAGAAAAAATTTCCTTGGATATTAAATTATTACTTGTAGTTACAAAAGCTTTGCAGGTGGATGCAACTTTCAACTTCAGGCCAGCACAGTAAACACATTAATGATACATTTTATTTCTCGCAATTAGCTCAGTTGCTAAGAGAAATAATTTTGAAATTATCCTACAATTAATCAGTCCCATAAGCAAGATTGGAGTATTATTATATTGAAGTAAATTTACATAAGATATAGAACATAAAATACTTATTAAAACAAACAAACACAAAACCAACCCATTTACATTTGCTGGAACTGGAACATCTCCAGTGCACAAAGTATAAAATGCTCAAAAGCCACATTAAAGACAACTTCAATAACTCCAAGAGATCTATATATAGTATTTTCGGTATAAAAAATTATTTAAGAATGTATTATTTGAAAAAGATTAGGAATATATTGACAAATTAAAAGCATGTCATGCAGAGATTTAAGACGCTTATAAAAGCTCAAGTAAAGGGGCAAACCACATCAAGCGGCTTACAGAAAACTCGAAGACTTTGAAAGCTTAAAGAACCTCATTCTTTTTCATACCTTAATTATGAAGTTGCAAATAACTGTTTTCAGCCACATGTTCTTGACATTGCAACAAACCCAACACTGTTATTTTTGTCAAATATTAGTCGACTTACTTTTCTTTAAGGAAATCCACTACTTGTTTGAAGTCTGCCACGCAGTATTCTCTCTTCATGTCCATGAGCACACTGTCAGAGGCTGACTGGACTGGTATGTGCAGAAAAGCATACACCCTTGGATGATTGAGAATCTTTGCCATTTCCTAAGAGTTATTAAAAAAAAAAAAAAGAAAAAGAAGCTTTAAAGTATTAGGAAAACAATAAAAAAAACCCCTTTAAATTATATGGGGTAAGTATTAGTAGTAATGCTTCTGAAACCCAAACAATACTGAATTGCAATAGCCCGGTTTGGAACAGTAGAGACAGGTGAAAATATTTTAAAGCAATTTTGTTTTAAAAGAAAGTAAGAAGAAAGAGATGAGATTGAATTTCCTTTAAGATAGGGATCACATTCCCTATGTAGCACTGATTATGCAATTAAAAGAAAATTTAAGAGGCAAACTATTGTGAAAATTAGTGCTTTCAGACAGCGGTTGTTTTCAGCCTCAGAAGACGGCAAGGGTTAGTTGCTTTCTTGCCAGAGTGAAATAACTTCTTAGATACCAATATGAGAATGTCTCTAATTGGAGTACCCTTAAAGGATACTTGGCCATTTGGTAATTAAGGTACACCTTGTCATTTGCAAAGCTGCTCCAGTACTGGTCTGAAATGTTACCTCTGTTATTTCAGAGAAGACTCCAATAATTAAAAGTGCTTGGCTATAAAATGAATAGGATTAATCAGGGGCAGCTTAAAAGAAGAGTGACGGCTTCAAAAGAGACACAGGATGCTACACATTTTGTATAAATGCAAAAGGTCGGAAAGAAAAAAAAAAAGTAAAGGTAAAGTGCAACCAAACCTCCAAATCAAAGCCAAACTAAACCCCCAACTGAGGCTTAGCAGGGTGAAGGAACGTGAGATGGTGAATAGAATATGGCAGTTGCATTTCTTTAATTATTATTATTTACACAATTAAGGACATACAGTCAACCAAGAAAGTTCAAATATTTTTAAAAGTTGATACAAACCAGAATCTAGACTGTGTGCAATATGGTACCATATAGCCTTTAATCTTTATCCTGCAAGAAATAAGTGAACTTGGATAAAGAACCGTAATACATGCACAACCAGGTTTTCACTTCAGGTTTTCCCTTTTTCCCTGTGCTGTGATCATATAGGAGAAGGCCTGGGACTGGGCACTGCGCTGCCTGCTCTTCTGCCATGTGCATTCTGCACACTCCAGTCAGGCTCACTCAGACCATTTCTCCTTTTTTCTTTGTTAGCATATATTCTGTCTGACAACACATACTGCTGCCAGATTTAGTTATTAGATGCAACTATTTGCAAATTCTTTCCAATCATTAATCAGCAATATTAGTTGTGCACCTAGATTTTCTCTCTCTATTTCTACAAGGTTGGCCTAGATTGTTCAAAGAGAAGGCAAACATCCTCATGTCTGTTAAAGTTCAGGAATACACCTTTTAAAAGCACTGATTTTTAGACCAAGAATTAAAAACGCTCTCTCAACACTCACCTTTCATCTGACAAACACATGTGTACAAACCCCAAACTCTATCAAATCACTTCTGAAAGCAGTTTTGAAAGTTTCTGTCTAAGATCCTATTACATAAATGTCTAAGAGAAGTGGTTACATTGTTCAGCTATTCTATCTCAGGCATGTAAGCTCGACATTACAGTAACAGCTATACTGATAATGGATGGCACACAATTTGATTCACAGAAAGGCTAAGTGCAGTGAACTTGGCTCTCACTGGAAGCTGGAGGCAGCTGGTTTCATGAAAAAAAGAGTAAAGAAAAGGCTACCATGCATGCAGACAAATTTTATATGCCCACTTCAAATGGAACAACTTGCCTATGCCCTTAATAATTTCAGATGTTCAGCTAGAATGTATTTTCAAAAATGAATGGCATAGAAGAAGTTCTGTAAAATAAAGCAACAAAATTCAGAAAACTTTTATATTTTTTTAAGCTTTAGAAAATCCTGTAAATGTAATTTGTATGAAGCATCCCAGTAGTTATCTGATTTTTTTGCTTATCAGTAACAAAATATATTTCTAAAATACGAGAAATAGCAAAAGGGATGAAACCTGAACTATGGACCACAAGCCTACTATTATGCTTATCTCTTAGTTCCAAGTACTTAATTTAATCCTCAAAAACACAGCTATAAGAAACTAATAAAAGTCAAGTTTCATAACATGTTTCTGAATCTGCCAAGTTCTTAAAAATAACTCACCCTACAACACAGAAAAAGAACTTAATTCTTCGCAACTCCTCTCAAGTTTTGCATCTTCTGATTAACAGCCTCTTCAAAACATGATTATTTTGTAAATTCTTTTTGAAAGTAATAAATGATTTATTAGAATTTCTAGATCCAAAAGTGTTATTTTTCCAGCTTTTGTAAGGCCAAAAATCATTTCATAGAAAAAAAAGTACCAATTCACTGTGTCTGTTTGGGATAGAAATATCACATTTAAAAAAAAACTACGTTGTTTTACCACAAAGTTTTGATTTTTAAAGTCACAAGTGTGGAAATTCTCTAGTTACATGAAAAGGTCAGCTTCATTTCTCTTCTTCGCCCTAAAAATGAAAATTTTGCTGCGAAATATGAAGAGTGAAAATCAAATTCTAAAATCTCAAAAGTGTTTTCCTATCCAGAGGATTATAAAAATGCCCCCACCAAATCCCAAACCCACTAGTTGCTTATCTTACAGTGACATGCAGAATCCTGCTGGTCTCACATTTGATCTCCTTCAGGGGGATGTGGCCAAGAGGGAGTTTATACTTCCTCTGCAAGGAACTAAACCGATAGTGTTCAGCAGCCATAGCTAAACAAGACTAATCAGAACTGCTTCTTCTAGTTATCCCCCATGTGAAAAAAAACAAAACCCACATCTTCTGCAATCACTGCTCTCGATTACTTTCAAGACTAAGAACACAACTGTTGTCATTTAAAGTAATTTCCCTTGGTTCTGTACTAATGGGACACAAAATGCCTGGCATTAATTAACTGAACTTTCCAACTGTCACTACAGGTCCCTGTATGCAGTGACAGCCACAAATGTAAGCTCAGAAACATTACTGACTATTCCACTGCATCATTTTGGTGTAAAAAGATGCACATCAGTCCCCCAATATCAAAAAACTCGCATCCTTCAGAAAGTAAATTTCTTGTCTTATGTATCAGAAATGCACATACAACACACACATTATGTATCTGGGAACCCTAATACTATCTAGCTGCTTGTACTTCCAACTAAGAATATTCTGTGAACTGTGAAAGAGATGTAGCAGGTGGTGTTGCAGGGACATCTCATCCCACCCACAGCACTGAAAGGTTTCAGCTATGTTTTAGATACTCAAATCTTCTAGTGATGAGGAGGTTGCAAACAACTCCACTGTGAACTCCATTCTTTTCTTATTTTCTGTATCTAAAGCTAAAATATGCTGCACGTGCTTTGAATCAAAGGTCCTACTGATGTCCCAGCAGGTACTTGAGGACTGTAACAATTAACTTTGTGAATTTAGCAGAACACAAATTATTAACACAAACCAAACACAAGACAGAAATACCTCACGACCCACTGTTTCATTGTCATTCACTTTTAGGTACCACTGATGGTCTTAAATTTACCTTTTAAAATCAGAAACTCAGAGTGAGGCATTCAGAAGGAAATAGAATAATGAACTAAACAAAAGCTTTGCATGATTACATCAGAAATCCAGAGAAATCAATCTTTCAAACTTTGCAGTGTTCAGATATAAATATCATATTTTAACTTGAAGCTTTAAGGCAAGTTTGTTCCAGTCTTACCTTTTATTCTCCCTACACCTAAAATGACACTGAAGTTCTTTACCATATAGGTTTGATTAAATTACAGTTACTATGCACTGAACAGTCATACTTAGTTAATGCAGTCCATACCACAGATTGCACATAGAATACTATATTTCATCACTTAATAAAACTATTAGTTAATATCATAAAGAGTATTTGAAGGACATCAGGGGCTAATGCATAACTGTACTTCACAGTATCTCAACATTCTAAGCTTAACATCTGTTTCCTGGTCTTTTTTATAAATATATATATTCTTTTTTTACAAAGTGCTTTGCATTACTAGATATAATGACATATTTCAGTTAGAAGAAAAAATGCAATATAGAATTTTATTTCCATCTGGAAACAATAAATGAAAAACTTTCTGAAATTATATGACTGTGAAAGAAAATTTCTGTCTTTCATCATGACTGAAAAGCTTATTGCCTTTTCTCCCTCTTCCCTAGAATCTGATAATACGTCTGTGAACGAAGGGACACAGCACACAAAAATGACATTTCGTGTAGGAATGAAAAGGTCAAAGAGTAGCACAATTTGTTTAAACCAGACTCTACAAAACACAGGAATAATCTACATTTGGAATCTAACAATGTATGTGAAACATCCTTTAGGATACTGATCACATAGGAAATTATTTTTTTCCAGTTTTTAGCAGCTGGAGTATATCAGAACACAAGGCACATTACCAGAATTATTTCTATCTAGTCAGTATATTTTATCCTAGCAATTACAGTACACAAATTTAACCACCTAACCAGAAAATCACTTCTCCTCTTTGTAATGACACCACGTGCAAGCACAGAGAACCACAGAGACAATAAACATCAGTTTCTGTGCATCTTCATGTCAGTACCAGCAAGCTGTTCAGTCAGTGATTCTTCCCCCATACCTAAAGTAGGCAAAAATCCAGTATTTGAATTCTGCCTCGTGTTTGAGTCATGATAATGTGAATAACTTGCTTCCTAGCAAAAGGATTTTGTCCTCTGCCAGCAGTGAAGTCCAAAGAAACACTCGTCCATATGGAAACATGACAAAATGGCACTCCCTCAAAACTTCATCCCCTTGTGGCAGATGCTAGTTTGGGATATGTCATGAGGGGTGTCTGTTGACTGTTTTTTTTTTCAGAAGCCGAGTGGTGCCACCACCAGCACAGTCTGGATGAAAATCAAGTGGTTGTGGCCCATTTTATAAATTCCTCTGCTGCAGTGCAGCTCACGAACAGATGTGATCTTGTGATGCAGGCACGGGAACGATGACACAGTATGATCGAGTCTGGAAAGCCCATAACACGCTCCTGTTTAA